CTCATATGTTATTTCTTTAAATTCCTCTGTATCGGCCAATTCCTTTCTATATAGTGACTCAGTATATTCCTTCCATCTTCTTTTAATATTTCCTGGATCGTTTAATATTCTGCCCAAAGCATCCTTGATTACAGCAACTCTAGGTTTGAATTTGTTTTTCAGTTCCTTGAGCTTAAATTTTATTATAAATACTATCTTATTATTAACATAATTAAATACTTATTAAATCTCAACCCAAAGCAACTCAATATTTTTTATATGTATCAATTATATATCTCAAAATATAGAAAACAGTTTTAAAGTATGAGACTAGAAAAATTCAACAAGGCCTGATTACGATTATTGGACATTTTATGATTTTTTTAAATAAAATATTATTTTAACTGTGATATTAACAAACATTTACAAGGAAGTTAGATTTTCATTCATTATTGCACATTTTATCCCCTCCCTTCCTCTTTCACCTCCTCCAGTTCACTTTTTAAAAAATATTCATTCATTGTTGTACAATTATCTACCTCCTCTTTCTCCCCCTAGTGCTCTTTGTAATGATATACCTCCTATTCTGGGCTGTTGTCATATGTATAATGCCTAATCATATATTCCTTTTAAACAGTTCTTTCTTTCATCTGTTCCAATGCAATGGTTACTCTTATCCTATTTTCTTCACAACCCCCAGGTCAAGCTTTATAACAATGGTGCTATGCAGTATTTGTCCTTCTGTGACTGAGATATTTCACCCAGCATGATGTTCTCCATGGTCCCGCATATTGTGTAATGTTTTCCAAGTTAATTGTTTTTCAGTGTTGTATAGTAATCCATTGTAGATATATATACCATAGTTTTTCCATCCTTCATTTGTTGATGGGTTCTTGGGTTGCTTCTGTCTCTTTGCTATTATAAACAAAAAAGCAATAAACATGGATGTGCATATATCTATTTGGGTTTCTTTAGTTCTTTTGTTGCTGTGGTTTCTTTAGGGTGGGTATATTCCTAGAGGTGGAAATGCTGAGTCAAATGGCATTTCTATTTGTAACTTATTGAGAAAGTGTCATACCGCCATAGTGGTTGCAGCATTTTACACTCTGACCAGCAGTGAATAAGGTTTCCAATCTCTCCCCAACCTCGCCAGCATTTGTTGTTTGCTGCTCTATTGAACTTTGCTATTGCTAGTTGTTTTTGGCATAACAGAGCTTAACACTGTCTGATTCAAACTGGCCAATATCCACCTCGCCTAACTAATATTTAGGATGTGGGTCCTTTTGCATTCCATTCCATTCCACTTTTTACAACTTTGTTTTCCAAGAGTCATACTTTGTAAATTCCGTGTTGTAGTTATTAATGGATGTTTGTACTCATTTTTTAGTTTTTCCCATCTGAGATACTCTACTTCCAGAACTATATTGAACACATTTCTTTGTTATTTATAGAGTTTTCAAAAGTCTGTTATTTCAAAAGTGGATAGTCAATCCTGCTTCTTAGTCTTAGTCTGAAAGCTCCACTGAAACATGTTTACGATGAGTGTCCCTGCAGATATTTGAAATACCACTATCATCGCTTCCAGTATCATAGCAACCGGAAGGATAACTTGATACAAATTGTCAGAAAAGTGTTGTATTCATTAAGAGTAAATTATAAACAAGCAAATATATAAACTATAAAATAAACAACAACATTCAAAATACCTCATCGTAATACAGCAAACTACAGATTAACTGCTGTGCTCATAAGACAAAACTATTAAGCAAACAAGTATAAAAATATCATAAAACAGGCATGCATGCTTACAAAATAAGTGTGTCAAGGATGCAATGAGAGCTAGGACAGCCTGAGTAATGTTTCTGCTTGCCTCAGAGGAGCCTAGGCGACTCGGCCTGGCTAAAGATGGTGTCTTTACCATTTACCATTTTGTATTAGTCATATCTTTTCTACACCAAAATAAACTCTGAGTAATAGAAACTGTAAGACAAAACTTTAGAATAAAACAAAGGGAATCTGGACAAATTGTTAAATCTACCTAAAAGAACAAGTCAGTAATTGTCTATCAAACAATTATCTTTGTTGACTATATTATGACAATTAACCTTGATGTTCTTGAAGCTATGATTCTGAGCCCCAAGGTCCAGCAACTTATCCTATGTACTTAGTTATAGCTAAGAAGTCTTTAGGGAATCTGGTGACCTAGTGGTAAAAAATTACAACGCCACCCCAAAGGGTTCAAAATCTACTACATGCACCACGGAGAAAAATAGGAAATCTCCTTCCATGTGATTTGTAGCCTCTGAAAGACCCTACAGGGTCAGCTATGGGTTGGTTTTTGACTTGAGAGAAAATAAAAACAAGAAGAAGAAATCTTTTATAAATTTGACTCACTACAATAATTAAAAAAAATTATTCTGATATAACAAGAAACAAAGTATCTAGTAGGATGCTTTAGTTTTGGTAATAATGTGAATCTTACAGATAACACATTATATTGTACTTTTATTTTAAAAAAATTTTAAAGTATTTATAGTTTTAACTTAAATGTGCTAATGTTTAAAGATACAGTATATTTCTGTCCAACTCATCATGAAAAGACCAAGAAAGAAGGTAGATACAATGACATAAAAATTTGAGACAGATTTTGCCTTAAAGGGTCATATTTTCTTACACTATCTCTGTATGATATAAAACAAAATAAATTCAAGAGAACACTGATTTAAAAAGAACACTGAAATGTACAATCTTGGCACTTACTTCAATTGTATGGATAATATCTCTGGGGCCAATAACTTCTGGATCATATTTAATATGTGCTTTGTTGGTTGCCAAGGCTACAGAGCAGTAGAAAATCCCTCTGTGTTTTGTGAGGGTAGACTCTATTTTATGGACACAAGAAGCACAAGTCATTCTTCTCACCTGTTAAAGACAAAGGCATTTTTCATTCAGAAATTATAGTTTTCTTCAATTAACATGAGGAGAGTTTTGACTCTTCACTAAAAAAGTACTTATACTATGAAATTACAACATAGGATTTAAATCTCATCTGAATTCCCAACATGTTCTATATATATTATCATTGTAACGGTATATTCCAACCACATTAAGTAAAGTTCTGTTCCTAACTATAATAGGTTTGATAGAATTGCAGCATCTCATTTTAAAAATTCCTCTTCTTCCTGTCTTCTTACTATCAAAAGGATTTGACAACTATCACTAATGCGTATATCTACTATTTTCTCCCTTAGTATTTTTTCCTCTAGACTTTAGTATTATTTTCGTGAGGGTTAATGGGTAATGGACTTAGTTATCGAATGTTTTTATAACAGAAATACCTCAAGAAAATGGCTTTCCCAAAAGGAAATTATTTTCTCAGGTTGTTGTTGTTTTTATTAAGTGATGTGGTGTTGAGCAAAACTCACAGCAACCCCATGAACAAAAGACCTGAACCCTGTTCTATAACTATCATCCATTCTCTAAATTCATAATTTCAAGAGGTATGTTGTTTAGGAAGTGGATACCACTCCTGCTTCCAAGTTTATCTTAATCTGGGAGATCCACCAAACACTGTCCACCATGGATAATCATTATAGCATTTAACACACCAGTGGCACAGCGTTCAGCATCACAAAAAAGTTAACAGCAGTCATAAAAAAAATAAGAATAACAAGAATTTAAGAGATTTGATAAATTCAGCTTCCTTGAAGATTATCAGAATTCTGAGAAAAATTCACAATACTAACTAACAGCCTAAATTTTTCCAGTAATTTTACTTTTGGGGGATTGGGAAAAATTCTAAAATACTAAAAATTCTTTACATATGAACTTTAGTCACATCTTTATTTATCAGAGCAAAACCAGCAGACAAATTTCTGTCATCATAATATATACATGAAGACTATTATACAGTCGTTAAAATGGTACTTGAAGAAACTCCTAATTTTGGAAAATGTTTATAAATATAATGTTAAGTGAATACATCTGAATGCAGTATTGTGACTCTATTCAGATCATACTTCATAAAACAAATGTACAAATTACACATTAGGAACTATGCACAGCACCGACCACTCTTTAAAAAGCCAGGCTTACCAGTTGAACAGAGAGTGGAAGAACCCCTGGGACTATGGCTCTGTAACTCATCAAACCAGGCACAAAACATATCTGTGTCTCACACTGTAGGAGGATATAAATTAAAATTCAGGATATCAGCTCTGAGAGAAAAAATTCTCTCCCTTGTGCTTTAGTGGGAAATCCTGGTCTCTTTCTGTTTTCTAATTTCTTGGGGAACTCTGTGCTTCTTGCCTTCTATACTTCCCCTTTTGATGCATGCTTACTTATTCTTTGATTTTTTTTCCTTTTTTAAATTTTATTTTATTACTTTTAATGAACATTTACAGAGATTTTGGATTTCCATTCACTCACTGTTGCACTTTTCCTGTGATCATTTTTGCATCTTAAAAAGCAGACTGAATCTTGAAGTTAAAAAAAAGTTAAAAAATGGTGTTTTAATTATTACATGAAAACCAATATGACGTGTATGCTTTCACGTTAAAAAAAAAAGGCAGAGATCCAAGATGGCGGCAGAGACAGAGTCAACGTGGTGAGCTGTGGGAGCAGTGGACCACTTGGAGCAGGGCTTCTACAGACCTCTGTTTATTGATAATTGAACAGTTAAACAGTTGATGACTGGTCTTCAGTGAAGATCGAGGCTCAACAAGAGGAATTCAAGGATTCCAAAGGAGGAATGGGTGAGTCTCGCAGCTCCCAACCCCCTCCCGCAGAGCCCGCACTGCACTGCACCACAGACGCAGCTCCATGAAGCTCCCACAGCCAGAACCTATGAAATCCCTCACCCAGGATGGATGGTAGGCACCGGGCCTCCCCAAGACTGGTGCAGCAGATCTGCCACACTGCCGCAAAGTGGACTTGTTCTGGGGAGAATTCTTGGAGCCAAGATGGCAGCAGCGGGGGAAGCGGGCAGCCACCAGCCACCCGCACGGGAGATGACAAGTGTGTAGAAGATGACGTGCACTGCCCACGCAGAAGATGGGATGCACACCCCGCTGCCTGCAGATTTGGGTTTCCTTGGACAGGCCAGAGAAGATGATCACCAATAAAATGGATTGTTGAAGGTCACTGTGAGTTGTCTACTTGATGACACTTAGTGGCAGCATGTCCAAGAGGACCGACATCTTAAATGCACCACATATTTTGATCTGTTGAATGCTTCTGCCAAAAGCTGGGGGGAGTCTGTTCACAACTCTCAGGTTCCCTCTGCCATTTATAAAGGGGGAGGGCAGAGACACCTACATCAAATTATAGTATGATCACTTATGGCGGAGGGTAAAAGTGGCGGTGCTGGAATTGGAGTCACTGCCCTTGGCCACATAGTCCTCGGTCAGGTGAGGGGCCCACACTGGGGTGGGGACAATTGGAGGGGGAGTATACCAGCCAACCCCTGGGGGGTTTGCCCTGCTCGGGACAGGCTGTCATCAGCCCCTGGCCCGGGGCGAGCCGTCACGGCCCTCAGGGTGAGCTCTTCAGTCCCCAGACTGTGCCATCTGACACTTGGATGGGGAAAACAAAACAAAAGATGCCTAGGGTATACAGATAATTTTATCTAGGCTACTTTCCGCCACCCTCTCCCCCAGTAAACCTGAAAGCAACACCCCCAAAGCCCTTCTATTTGTAACTCACAAGTTTGTTCTCTCTACGTTTGCTCCCTTTCCTATAGGTAACCTTAACACTGAGTTTTACTCCAGACCTGACCCTGAACCCAGTGCCAGTGACAAAAAGGAAATACAACTGCCAGCTAAGGAATCAAAAGAGGATGGAGCCTCTGGGTTCAAGCAGCCATCCCCACTGGACCCACCTGGGAAAACACTTTGCAGTCCAGAGGGGAGCAAATTACAGGAAAATATCTTCTAACAGAACAAGAAGGCAAGCAGCTCTAAGCCAAGACCACCAGTAAGGTGATACAGTGTCCTCCCTTTCCCCCTTCATATCAATGTCCCTGTTCAGCATGAAGAAGCCAGAGAGTCTTCATCCAGTTCCCAAATCAATAAGACAGTTGGTTTAATTGCCATTGGAAAATGCTTCCCATTCCCCTGTAGCATCTGGTCCCCCCCACTGGATCCTTTTCATTTCCTTCACCTGCTCCCCCACCAACCAAATTGTGCAGCTCTGCAACTGCAACCCTGCCCATCCTCACCTTTCTGCCCCCAACCCTCACCTCCTTGTACCCCAATTATGTTTTTCCCAATAAAATAAAATAAATTTTAAAAGTTAGTCAAGAAATAAAGACACATACTACAGGAAACCTCATTAGCATAACAAAAATGAGCCATCCGAAGGTGACAACAATATTTTCGGAAGACACAATTCAATTCCTAACAGGTAGTAAAAGATTTTCTTTATCTTTGTATACCTAAAAATGTATGTTGTGTATTATCTTGAATGATGTTATTATAGTTTAGCTGGGTAATAAATATTAAGTTAAGGAGCAGGTATTTCCAAAATTATTATGTGAGTAATTTAACAAACACTCCTGCCAAAAAGGTATGACAAAACTTCACAGAATTTTCAAAAGAATCATTGGAAGTTCTTTTTAAAACTAAACAGAATACAAAATTGATGAAACATTTATGCAAAGGTATCTTCACATCAAAATTTTCTTCATAAAAGTAAGGAGAAAAGCATCAAATATTCTTAGAATCAATATTTTTAAAATATTGAGCATAAATTCAAATTTGTAGAAATATATATTTAAAAAAATGTGAAGAACAGTGTGAAAAACAAGGTGTATGAACTGTGTAAGCAAACCAATAAAAAAAAGGAAATTAAAATCCATAAGAATAGGAAAAACATCTGCAAAACATTATCACTGACTTGGACCCAATTCATAGCCAATCCTTAAGCAGGTTTTGGGTAAGCAATAAATCGCATGGAAGAACTATTCATCATTTTCCCTAGGACTTGTTGATGGATTTGAACTAATAGAGAGATACCACCTGTGGGCGAGAAGTGCAGCTGTGTACAAACTAGGCCACAAGAGCTCCATGTGGTTATAAAAGAGTGCAACCAAGGTGCTCCCTAGAGCAAAGATGGTGACATTTTGTCTCACATATTTTGGACACATTATCTGTAGAAGCCAATCACTGAAAAAAGAAATTTTGCTAAGAAAGGTAGAAAGGAGGTGAAAGAAAGACTTTGATTGAGATAGATTAGCACAATGATTTTAAAAATGGACTCAGGGCACAAGGGCGACAGTGCACAGGGGCGACGGCGAACAAGGGCAGTCGTATTTGCCGAGGATTGGTGATTTGGCAGCTTAATATCTGGGAACAGACCGCAAGCCCTAACTCCCAGCTCTGCCCAAGCCCTGCACCCCCATCCCTGACACAGCACCATGTCCAAAGACACCACCCCACCACGATCCTGCACCCCCAAATTCTGGCACACCCTGGTAGCCTCGCCACAACCCTGCACCCCTGTTGGTGCTCCAGGGCCACTAGAGACTAATTCAGAAAGCACCGAGACCTACCAACAGCCGTGGACAGTAGATTCTGAGTCAGTACACAAAGGCACAACACAGATTCAGCCATCATCTGAAGCCACCAATCGAGCTGCTGTGGGACTGATCTGCCACGAGAAAGGCTGGTAGGATTCTAATTGGGTTTTCTTGGGCACCGCCGATTGCCTGGGAGAGTACCCAAGGGTGAGCCCACTGGTGGGAATTTGGCTGAGCTCTCTCAGGGCATGCCAACTGCCCAGGAACGAGTGGACCAGTGATAATTTGGCTGAACTTTTGTGAACACTGCAGACCAGCCAGAGGCGAGTGGGTTGAGTCCCCTTGGACTCAAGAGTCCTTCTCGGCAGGGGCCACTGTACAAGGGCAACTGCGTGAGCACCCCTGG